TAATTTTAGAGGGTTCTCATCCTAGAACAATTAATCAGTGGAGTGACTTGCCTCCATCACTGGAGGTTTTTAACAAGAAATTGGACAGTCATTTATTTGAAATGGCATGGGGTCTCCTGCTTGAGACAGGGGTTGGACTAAAAGACCTTTATGGTCTCTTCCAACTCTGTTATTCTGTTATCCTTCATCTTCTTGGTCAGCTCCTCACTTAAGCAGACAGGTGAGCAAGCGATAGATGATTGATTGATAGATAGATAGATAGATAGATAGATAGATAGATAGACAGACAGACAGACAGACAGACAGACAGACAGACAGACAGACAGACAGACAGACAGACAGACAGACAGACAGACAGACAGACAGACAGACAGACAGACAGACAGACAGAGATGATAGATAGATAGATAGATAGATAGATAGATAGATAGATGGATGGATGGATGGATGGATGGATGGATGGATGGATGGATGGATGGATGGATGGATGGAGGGAGGGAGGGAGGGAGGGAGGGAGGGAGGGATGGATGGATGGAGATAGAGATGATAGATAATCTTTATTGTCATTTTTTTACTGTGGGCACCCTGGCACACATTAAAAATGAAATTCTGTTGCTTGCTCTCAAAAGTGTACACATACATAACACACACAACACACGCTATATACATACATATGTATATATCTACGCTCTTACATATAAATACATATAAATATTAATCGCTGTCCCTCTTGAATACGTAGCGGAAAGAGGAAGCTGGAGAGTTCACAAGGTTGATCCTGTATGGAACAAACTGTGACTGAGTCTGGATGTTCTGCTTCGGATACCACGAAGCCCCCTCCTCCCAGGAGGTAGCAAGGAAAACAGGTGGTGAAGAGGGTGTGTAGCGGGCCAGGTACATCAAGGTGGACACAAAGGAGCTGATGGTTCCATCAAAAACCATTTTGCTCTTGACCGCTTAGCTTCCTTCTCCGTCCCTTACGGACCCTCAATTCGCAGCCTCCATTCTGAGCTGGTTCTAGGCAACTCACATCTCCCTTGTCTCCTCCCAAGAACTTTTAATCTAACTACTAGAACCACCCAAACATCAACATTTGAGAAGTATCTTCTCATCGAGGGCCCTTTCCTTCTGCGGGGCGATTAAGTGGCTTTGTGACGAGGTTGTCCAAAGAGCTTTGTGGTTGTTCCTTTGACTCTTGAAGTCAACCCAGGTTCTTCGTACGTTGCTTCTCCCACCCAGACGATGGTTCCAGGTTTGAGAAGACCCCCAGGAGGACCTTCAAGGCCATAACCACACAACCTGTTTTCCTCCGTGCTGTTGGTTGACCTGACCGTGTGGGGTGGGGGTGGGGGGGATCCTTGATTCCAGAACGAAGTCTTCCCCGAGCCCATGTTCACTTGGACCCGTGTCGGGAGCCGGCTCCTGGACGGCAGCACCGAACATGACGGGAAAGAGCTGGTGTTGGAACGCGTGCCGGCCGAACTGAACGGCTCGATGTATCGCTGCACGGCGCAGAACCCTTTGGGCTCCACCGACACCCACACCCGGCTGATCGTGTTCGGTAGGGGGGAGCCCCCATTCCTCCATCGGTGGCTCATCTTGGATCATCTCCCCACCTTCCGACTCGTTGTTGACATCTCAACCGTCCTACTTCCCTGTGGTCTGTTGATGTCTTTCCAGCTGCATGCTCCCTCCAGGATAGGGATATGCCCCCATTGGGGTAGGAAGACTGCCATTAAGGGGGGGGGGACCCAGCCGAGCCATGCCATCCTTTCTGCTCCCAATTCCCCCCTCCTCTGCTTCCCCAAACTCTAATCAACACCCCACCCCTCGCGTCTTCCATTCTTCATCCATTCTTTCCCGTCCTCCATCCATCGCACCTCATCCTTGCCTGCGTTTCTCCGATGCTCGATGACCGTCTTATTCTTTTCTCCCCACCCACCCCCCTTTCTAAATAGAAAACCCCAATATTCCAAGAGGAACAGAAGACGCCAATGGTAAGCCCCCCCCCTCCACCCATCTAACGCGCCTCCTCGCAAGAAG